CACACACACACACACACACACACACACACACACACACACATTCCATCGATAGGATGAGCAAAAGCGGAAGGAATCTTCCGCTGAAACGTGGAAATATACACTGCCACTTTTTGATTTGCTCATTCTATGGATCCAAGTAGCGTGCGGCTAGGCGCGGGTTGGAGACTTAGCCGTTGGCCAAGGTTGGAGACTTATCATCTCTCTCTCTCTCTCTCTCTCTCTCTCTCACACACACACACACACACACACACACACTCCATCGATAGGATGAGCAAAAACGAAATGAATTCTCCGCTGAAACGTGGAAATATACACTGCCACTTTTTGATTTGCTCATTCTATCGATCCAAGTAGCGGGGTGAGGGGCGGGGTTGGAGACTTAGCTGTCGGCCGAGGTTGGAGACTTATCGGCTATCTGTCTCTCACTGCCACTTTTTGATTTGCTCATTCTATCGATCCAAGTAGCATGAGCGAGGGGCGGGGTTGGATACTTAGCTGATGGCCGAGGTTGGAGACTTATCGACTCTCTCTCTCTCTCTCTCTCACACACACACACACACACACACACACACATTCCATCGATAGGATGAGCAAAAACGGAATGAATCTTCCGCTGAAACGTGGAAATATACACTGCCACTTTTTTAGCAAAATCGGAATGAATCATTCGTGTGTGTGTCACAAGAGGTTAACGGGGCATCTGGTTTTCAGGCCTGAAATTTCTGAAATTAGGGTTTTGGGCTCAAATTTCATGTTTTTTTGGAATTTCAAGTTTTTGCTATATATGCATTTTGATAGGGTTGCCGTATATGAAATTTCTGAAATTGGTCGAGTTTTTTTTGGGCCAAATTTCATGGAAATGCACCTTTGGCTTGCTGTTTTATATGTTTTTAATTGCTTTTTTTAGGGGTTTTTTCTGTGATGGGGTCGTAAGAAGTGCACTCTATAGATTGGTGTGAAGTGTTGTTAAAATGACTGTCTGGTTTTCTTATAAATGGGCCTGAAAAATGGGTGCTCGGTTAACCTGCTCTCGTGTGTGTGTGTGTGTGTGTGTGTGTGTGTGTGAGAGAGGGAGAGAGAGAGAGAGAGAGAGAGAGAGAGACGATAACTCTCCGACCTCGCGGCTTGTGCCATGCTGCTTCCATCGATAGGATGAGCAACATCCAATGAATCTTCAGCTAGAACATGGAAACATACACTACCTGGTTGAATCTTCGGTTACAACATGGAAATATACAGTACCTGGTTGAATATGGCCGACCGCGTCATGCTACTTCGCAAACCCCCCCAGCGCGGCGCGAGCGAAAAAAGAGGCTGTTCATAAAGTTGCGCCGACACCGACCGCCCACCGCCCCCCCCGTCACGACTGCGCCCGTCCCGGCTACCAGCCTCCCCAACCGTCGCGCCCTCCTAGGTCTCCTGCGGCACCGCGCGCGGACCTCCCTACCCGAATTTCGCTGGGCCCAGCGGGAGCGTCACTCGCGGACCGCTTTTTCCTTTAAGGTATAAGAGAAAAAGGTCTCGATGGACCACGGATCAGATATGAAACTAAACGGAGCAGATACTACGCTTGATCGTGTGGAGGGAAGAAACGATATGAAACTGATTGAAGCAGATAATACACTTGATCGTGAGTGTGTGTGTGTGGGGGGGGGGGGGAGGCACATTGTTAGTTAGGTTAGGTTCTCTCTCTCTCTCTCTCTCTCTCTCTCTCTCTCTTTTGCGCACGCTCAAC